AATGATGAAAATGGTCTGACTTACACTTCACATAGATAATTTACACAGCTGTTTTATTAACATATCAAAATTCAACTTTATTTTCAGGAAAGAGGGACTGCATAAAATGTGGAAGAGCAATGATCTCCCCTTATATATTTGAGAAAATGGGTGGAAAAGAATCATGCAAGTCCTGGAAAACAAGTATATTATGCCAAGGCACAACCCTCAAGAGTCTCATGGAGGTGAGAACAGGAAGAGTTGATGCTCATGTGTCTTTGTACTTGAATGCATTTTGTCCAAAATGAAACAATATATTTTCAATTCTGTGGCCTAATGGTAGTCTTTAAAACGAAACAAAACAAAACAAAAAGCTATTTCCATTGTGCTTGTCTAACCTGGGTTCTTTTTCTTTTCAGATGAATATTTTGAAGATACCTGAACTTGATGGAAAGTTTACCCTTCGCAAATGATGTGCCATGCATTATTTATTTAGCATTTTCAGTCACTTAATTAAATTATAAAAATGTGAAAGTAAAATAAACCATTTAAAAACAATATCAATCAAAATAAAACACTTACTATACTAGTGTTGTTTTTGGCGGTCTGTTTTAATTTTAGTTTTAGTCTAGTCTTTGTGTGAAGCTGTCATTTTAGTTTTTATTAGTTTTAATGACTACACAGCTCTGCAAATATGTTTAGATAATAAATATTACCTAAATACAAATGCTCTTTACACTAGGTGCCCATACAGAATCTGGGCAATTGTTTCTGGCTGTTAAACATAAAAATAATTAAAACAGTCAGAAAGTGGGCATTAGATGTTTCCAAATCACTTTAGGTAATGTTGTAGGCCTAAAAGACTGCACTTAACCTTGAAAAGCCTCAACAGATCTCGGAATCAATGAATCGGGCTATGTGTAATACCCTAGGCTATACAAAAATACAAATGTTCAAACAAAAATGTATTAAAACTAAAATTTTTGCCATGTTAAATTGTGTATTAGTTTTTGAAATGCATTTCTGCATCAACATTTTGAACGGTAGCTTGTGAATGGTTCGGTTCAAAATTCACAGATCCAAGATTGGCTGTAACCCACTGCCTTTCTTGGTACAATGAAGTAGGTAGTAAGTAATGAAAATCCCGCCTTCATGTCGGCTGGAGGGACCGGCTCTGGAGGGACTGTGATTTCTGCTCACAAGACATGAGCAACCTCTGCCTCCGCCTGAGGTGAACTGGATGCCCCTGAACTTGGGGGGACGCCGGGTAAACTGAATCGCATAGCCGAGTCTGATGGTCCGAAGGAGCCAGCGAGACGGGCTGGGGAGCGCTAGCCAGGCTCTCAAAGACCATGTAAGCAGGACCAGCAGAACTACAGACGCACCTACAGTGGAGCAGCAAGGTGGAACGCAGGGACCCGGGTCGAGGGGTTCGGTGATGGCCCGAAGCAGGGTCTGGGTGTGCGGGGCAACACATACCTGGTTCCAGGGTTGAGCAAAGGGTGCATGAGAAGGCTTGAAGTGCCCTCGAACCGCCCACTGCTGCCTGCTGGCGATAGAGGAGGATGACATTTGTACGGTTCTGCTCCGTCCACTGCTCTCTATGCCCTCTTGGGACCCAAAGACAGAGGAAACTGCTCTTTTGTTGAGGTTTTTATGTAGGGACGAAAACGCAACAAAAGATTCTCTATCTGGCCCTCCTCTGGGGGAGGGAGTGGTGCGATCACCATCTCCCGAAGAGCTGCTTCCTCCATCTCTTCTGTTTGCCTTGGCCTGATGAACCTGCAACAACGCCATAGTGTGTAAGGCCAAGGCTGCCTCTCCACAGGCCGCATAAGCACTGCCAGTCAGACTAAATGAATACTTACATGCCCGGGAAGGGAGACACGGTTTGCCGTGCCAGGTGGAAACGGAGTTTGGACACAGCTGCATTGCAACCGACTGCTCCACCGGCGGGATCTCAGTATACCCCTTGGCTGCCCTGCCATCGAGAGTGGTGAGGGGGAAAAGCTACCAGAACAGTTTCAGGCAGAAAAAGGTACCGTCCATGAACCAGCAAGCTCTTCATGCACTTCCGGGAAGAAAGGCACCAAGAATCCAATCATCCAGCCTCGAAGGTTTAGGACACCGTGGAGGTTTCAGCGGCCCGGGCAAGCATAGCCGTCATCTCAGGGTCCACCTCCGGCATTGGTACCATCCCAGAAGGTGGCAGCGCAGCCGGATCATCCTCCCCAGAGAGCTCTGGCTCGCCCTCCTGCTGCGATCAACATCTGATCGTCGGGGGGAGCCCCAAAGGATATGGGTGGAACATTCCGAGAAGGTCCAGCACATTCCTTGGGAATCTCCACAGGCTGCGGAGTGCAGGTGGGATGAGGGTCCCTGGGAGGTTGGTTCCTCAGTGGGGAAGTCCTCACCATCACCCTGAGTCTGAAACCACCAATGTGACTACCAGAAGTAATCTTCCCCTGGCTTTTGCCAGTTTGCACCTCAACAAAGGATTCAGCGACCCGCTGCAGCGCCGTAACACGCACACACACAGAGGCTTCCTTGTCTGACTTGTTCAAAACACTGAAGCTTGTTGGGGAGCAGAACGAAACAACCGCTCGGCTCCAAAGCGAAAAGCTGAATATGTGTTGCACCTGCTGCATATTTATGCGCTGTGAGGCGTGGCAGTCAGATGCAAATATCGCATGCCAATGTGCATAGGCTGGCTTAGTTTACACTCGAAGTAGATTGGTCTCTCTAGCAAGATTCCCAATTCGTTGGTCACCAACCAATATATATATATTTTTTTTTTTTTACAATTTATAGATGGTAATGGTAGTGTGCTAATGTTGTATGTTGTAATGTAATATGTTGTTTTTAGCACATTTCAAATTAAAAAGTGGAAAGATTCTAAAGAATATTGATGTTGATTGTACATGTGTGTGTTCATACAGTAAAAGATTTAATAATGAATGAAATCGTATGCAAATATTACAGCACTGCTCTGACAATCTATTTTAATTAGGGCTGTCAGCCGATTAAAATTTGTAATTTAATTAATTACATGATGTATTGATTAATTAATCTAATTAATCGCAAATTACATTTGGCAGTGAAAATACCCCCAAAAGATTATTTAAAGAATTTTTTTTTTTTTTGTTAAATTAAAAATTATTGAGTAGACATTACAAATAGTAGCTTTAGAAAGAAATATTTGATTTGATCCAACATAACATTTATTACACAGAAACATTTAGGCTACAACGACCCAACATAAACTGTGAAACATAAAAGAAGATAATTTGAGAAACATCTCAGATTTTTTTCGTTCGTGCAATGGAAGTCATTGGTAACCAAAACAGCTTTGTTACCAACAGTCTTCAAAATACCTTCTTTTATGTTGTGCAAAAGAAAGCAAGTCATTCATATTTGATTAAATGACATCATTTTTTGGGGGGGTGAACTATCCCTTTCAATGTTTTTGTTTTTAAAGGGGTCATATGATGCGATTTCAATTTTTCCTTTCTCTTTGGAGTGTTACAAGCTCTTGCTGCATAAAGAAGGTTCCTCACTTTAGCCCCCGGCCTCTGCTCACTCTACGCCACCGCCACTCACTCTAGGCCACCGTGTGTGACGCTGTGTTTCGTTGTGAAAGCGAAACTACTTCGTTTGGGCTTGTGTGATACCACTTATCATATGATATAGGCTAAATATGAGACCAATACTCATACAGGAGCATTTTTTTTTTGCCCCAATATCTTGAATTTTAGGGCATAACTGCTTTTATGGAGTTGTTGCTCTGCATCATATTTGTCAACAGTTAACTGTATGAAATGTAAGATGATGTACAGGTCTGGGGGCGGGGCCAGTGCGTTAACTGTGGTATAATATTTTAATCGCGTTATTTTTCATAACTAATTAAATAAGTTAACCCGTTAAACTGACAGCCCTCATTTTAATTAAAATGTTATTTAAAATATGTACATTATCTGGATGAGTCAAATAATTATATCCTTTTGTGAATGTTTTCTGATATTATATACCCACATAGCAAAATTGGTTCGGCCCAGTGATGGGCCACACAACCCACTTTCACTTGGCCCATATTCAGCAATGCATTACGGTACATGACTGGACCAGGTCTGGTTGCCAGAACTCGGGCCACATATGGCCCATGGCATAGCCATATCTCAGCCAAATGTATGACTATAGCTGGCCCTATTCTTGTTAACTCATACTAATTCTACAATCCAAAAAAAGCAACGTCAAACTACATATATAAAAATGTTTCCAATTATCAATTACCAAACTTCGCTCGCTTTGGTCCAGAGTTGAGAAGTACACGACCGTTAGTGAAGCGCAGCCTCAAGTGCATCATTTTATTTTTCCTCAGATGCAAAGGCGCAGGACCAAGCAGCCTTCAGTTTCGATTCTGTGAGTGTGGGAGGGGAGATATTACACCAAAGACAACTCAACATGGAGAAACCCGTCCGCTTCCTGCTGTTCAAATAATGCTGAAGATGTGACAGTCTCCTTCATGAAATGACTCTCTCAGATCATTCTAGAATCCGACTGACTGATTGATCAAGCGATAAAATAGAGGAGGATGAAGAAACAAAGCTGTAAGAAGAGACCGCAGACGGGGTCGTCCTCCCATTCTACACCTAAGAAGAAACAAGTCAAGAAACAAAACTGCCCCAGTAAGTCCAGAAACTATTTTTTTTACTAATATAATGACAAAACAGTGATGAATCAAGTTCTTCGAAATAACAAGAGGCACATTTTACACTGCCAAATATGTTATTGAAAAGTTTTTTTTTTCTTCTTTACCTAACTGATTTTGATTTTACTTGTTTCAGAAACATCTTCAGGACAAAAAAAACACTCAAAACAAACCTCAGCTTCCTGTTACATATGGCTATAAAGAGAGTGTCCTGTATTTGAAGAAATATTATGATAGTAGGTGCAAAACATGTTACTACTTGTTAAAGAATTGAGTAATGTTTATGAAGAGCTACACGTTTTTTGAATGCTGGCGTCCAGGTTCCAGGATACAGTGAGAACATCTGTGGTCCCATGATGCTGGGCAGAGTGAAAATGAACTTGGAGAATAATGACTATCAAACAGTGCGAGAGTTTATCACAGCTATTGAATATGTTTTCCACCACTGCACCGCCAACAGGGTGAGTTTGGAAATGTAGCTAATCAATTGATTCTAAATAATGAATATTATTTAGTCTTGTTATTTCCATAGACTAAATTCAGTCTTTTTTCTATTTCTTTTCCTGTAGGATAATGACTTCAGCAGAATGACCTTTAGGCTCAAGGAACTGTTTGAAACGGTCTTTAAGCCCCTGTAACATCACACCTTAAAAAGAAGTCACAATTTATGGTAACATTTGTGTGTATTGTACAGAAATTATTAAAAAAAAAAATATATATTTAGACAACATTACGAAGGCGTTCAGTTATAAACAATTACTTACAGTGTATTCAACTCACCACCTTTTGAAAAAAGGGGTTTAATTCCAAGTATGCAATGTACATGACTGGTCCAAAACCAATTAGTTTTTGTTGTTGTTCCTGTTGTTGTTTGTTTTTTGCATTGAATGTGGTGAGGTGGGGAATATTTATCAGTATTCTTCTTATTAAGGTATAAATAAAATAGAGTTTCAGTTTAGACAATGGTACAATCTCATAAAACAGAAAAAGAGAAAGTCTGTGTGTGTGTGTGTATGTGTGTGTGTGTGTGTGTGTGTGTGTGTGTGTGTGTGTGTGCGTTTCAGGTCATTAGGCTGAACTGACAGTGCAAAATAATCATCCAAAGAAATTGATGGCCCTCCTTTACCTAGACCAATTTGCAGCACAGCCCATTACCATCAGCAAAAGTATTACTGTATATTGTTTTTGTGAATGTTTCATCTGTTGTTTTTATAGTTTGATTTTTAATCAGATCCACACTTTATCCCTCATCTCTCATTTCATCCTGCCAAAAAATAAATATGGCACTACCCTGGCTAAGTTTTTCTGTGTCAAGAGTGTGTAGGAGGGAGATACCAACCAGACAGCTCAAGGTGGAGGAGTCCCTCCATTTCATGCTATTCAAATAATGCGGATATTTTTATAAAATTACTGTGTCTTGCAAATGATTTCTAATGTTTGTTTCCCTTTGTGTGCCAGTACATAGAGTGGGGGGAAATGCACGCCTTAATGACTGTGCCAGTTTTTCCCGCTGTGAAACAAAAGATAAGTATGTCCAGAATAGTTATCATAGTTTTAGAGGCAATGACATGGGCCTAAATTATAAACATAGTATATGTTTAAAAATGTTAAAAATGTTTTTGTTTAAAATTTGTAAAAAAAAAATATTTGTTATTGAAAAATGTCCAGAGTTTTCATGCTATTAGATTTTTAACAAAAATTACATTTGTACCAAAGGGGCGTTTTGCCCCACAGGTGGGGTAAGATGCTCCCCCAGTCTGACAGCAATTTGCTTTATACATTTACAGCAAAATCAGAGTACAGGCAGTTTTAGCTTAAAATTAAAAAGATTATAATCCATATTTATGAATGACCTAATTATAATAGCCTATTTTAAAGATATTGTTAGCTGATGCTAACTTAAGGTAATTTTAAATATAAAGTCCAAATATTTTTTATTCAACCACCTAGTTAGAATACATTTAATGGAAAAGCAAAGAATGTGATGTTCAGAACAGAGTAACTACAGTAATTAAGCCATGCCCACTGGGGGGCGTTTTACCCCACAGACTAGGTTTGAAAATAAAATTCTGTCAATCTGAAAATATAGGCTAATGATATTTTTCTTAAATAACATGTAGGCTACTCCCTATCTACAGCCCTTATTCTCATATCATATATAGGTCTAACTGATATTCTACAAAAAAAAAAAAACTTTTTTTCTTAGTGCTGAAAATTACATCAGTTACCGTGAAATCAGTTTTCTCTCAGGTACATCACCAGTGTAAACGTCCACCAGTCCATAGCAACAACAAAAAATGTATCTTGACTTTATCTAGTGGTTATTTTGGGAAAAACAGTGTGGAGGCGTTTTCCCCGCACTCGAATACACACTTTGAAACATTTTAAGGTAAGTTTGCCTGCACCAAAGTAGTAAACACAAAAGAAAAAGGCCATGAAGGCCCACTTCGCACAGCCCTGACGGTTCTGACAAGAGCTGGAAAAAATGGTAATCATTAAGTCTTCGTTTCGTTTCGTTACTGTAAGTTTCATTTCTGCCTCAGTGTGCTATGTGAGGCGAATGAGTTTATCCTCCGGACTCTGGAATCATCAGACGGTACGTTTGTTATACTAATTTGACTTTAATTTATAATTATCGAATACCGATATTTTATACCCCGGAGTCCGCAATTTATATGTATCAGGGTTTTTTTTTTTTTTTTTGCGATTTGGTACATTGTGTTTTGTACTAAGGGTATTTTTAAACATTTTAGAAATGATAAAAGTTTTAAAGTTACCGCATCAGTCCGTTTGCTCACGCGCTTTTTATTGGTAGTATACTCACAGCCAATGTATTTTAAATACCAAATGCAAAATAAATAAATAAAAACACAAAAAAACAAATACTTAAGTATACTGCAATACTGCATATATAGGATATATACTGCAATATAGGAGTGTTGAAACAGCGTCTCAATAAGTTAAGACAATTCCAAAGCCACAAGCAGAAGTTTCTAAGATGGATAAAAGTTTAATTTTCTTATTGGCAGGCATTCGTTAAAATGTTTGTTAATAATTTATTATATTTACGTTTGATAACGTTTGGCTATAGCAGGTCCAATAATTTGCTTTCTCCAGGGCCCCCTATCGCACAGCAAATAGTAGTATAAGTCATCAACACACAGTAAAGGATGAATTACCCTCAAACATTACCAATGAAAATGAGGGAAGCTCTGGTTGCCCTTCTTTTATTTGCCTATGTGGGTGTGGTTAATAGAGTGGTGCAATATAATAGACTGAACCAGGAAGATGTCAGAATACTTAATTTGGCTGTGTGGCAAAGGTAAGGTGGCAGGTGTGTTGAATTTCAGAATATTATGCTATTAACAATGATGGTCACTGGCTGTACACATACTTTTATTCTGTTGTAATATTGGCAATGGTGATTAAGAGCTTTATGTAAATAGCCCGTTTTTAGAAAATGAAGTTAAGGTTCCATAAAAATAGCTTTGGTGAAATTTAAGTAAACATTTTTAAAATGTTACAATTACAATTGAGGTTTTATACATTAAGTGATGTCAGTGGCATTTTCTTAAGAGTTAGAGACTCTTCCTCGAAATATGATTACGAGTGTTGATTGTAAGAGAGAGTTGATCTGGATTTGCAAGCATTCATATCATGTGACATAGTAATGCATGCAACTGCACACCCTATTGTGTTTGTATTTGATGTGCTTATCGATTTATAGAGTATGAATCATCTTTTAGTAAATCAGCTTTTGATTTTGTTTACTTGTATCAGACTCACTTGTATGTCATGTCATCTATTAAGTCATGTGGATTGGTTTATGAATAGAGCATAATCACAAACTCTCTCTGATGCAGTTATCCTGATTTAAGCTAAAAGGGATCGGTCTGATCTACTGTAGGACATAGGTATCATGGGTAAGCAAACAAATCCATAATCATCATCTTAATGACCAATTTACTGAACACATTGTCTTTGCACATGCAAGCTAAAGTATTATATTTTCATGTAACAGGTTCTCTCTTCTCAAAGGCTGATAATAAAGACAATACAAAAACTTCTGCACATTGTCAGGAATCAGGACTAAGGAAAAGAAAGAGTAATGAGTCATTCCAAGAGAGTAAGTGCAATTTCTTTTGAACTTACATTTTGTTTTAATGCATATCAGGAAGGTTGACCATGACCTCATCTGCACTGACAGATTTCACAAATATCAAACAAATATATATTTGTCATATTTCTAAATCTTGTTTTTATCCATAAATTTATTCATTAAGCAGACGTTTTTATCCAAAGCGACTTACAATTGAGAAATACAATAAACGATTCATCATAAAGGGGCAAATAAACACAGGAAGTGCTCGTAATATAAAGTTTCAGGCATTGTTCAGATTAGTACAAGCTAGACGGGGAGAGATTAAGGAAAGAGAATGCAAAGGTTTTTGGTTTTTAATTTATTTAGAACAGGGGTGTCAAACTCAATTCCTAGAGGGCCGCAGCCCTGCAGGGTTTAGCTCCAACCCTAATTAAACACACCTGATCCAGCTAATCAGGTCCTTTAGACTTATTTTAAAACTACATGGTATGTGTGTTTGGAGCAGGGTTGGAACTAAACTCTGCAGGGCTGCGGCCCTCCAGGAACTGAGTTTGACACCCCTGATATAGAATGAAGTCAAATGGTGACGAAAGAGACGAGTTTTCAGATGTCGCTTGAAAATTGTCTGGGATTCAGCATTCCTGGTGGGGGTGGGAAGATCATTCCACCAGCCAGGAACGGTGAACGAAAATGTTCTGGAAAGTGATTTTGCGCCTCCCTATGATGGTAACACGAGGCATCGCTTACTTGTAAATCTCAGACTTCTGGAGGGGATGTAGATTCTCAAAAGTGAGTGGAAGTAGGAGGGTGCTGAGCCTGTGGCTGTTATATGCAAGCATTAATGTCTTAAACTTGATGCAAGCTGCAACCGGTAGCAAGTGCAGGGAGATAAAGAGAGGTGTGACATGGGCCCTTTTGGGCTCGTTGAAGACCAGACATGGCACTGCAATATAGGGATGAAATTATTAGTTGTCATTATCGACAGCGTTGACAATAAAAAAAATTGTCGACAAATATTTTTGTTGTCGAGTAGTCGTTTGATCTCGTATGACCTAATGTAAGAACCTGCAACAATGCAACAATTTGACCAGTGTGGCGCTGTAGTGCAAGATTGTAATTCAGCCCTCCTGAATGCAATTCACACAGTGAATTGACACAGTGCTTCAGAGCGAACACAGCCAAATCTAAAGCTGCTGAGCACATTTGGATGAATATAGTATGTAAATATATGCTGCGCGCTTTAGTCTCAATAACAAAATGAACAGAACAAAAACTGACAGCGGTGAGAAAGCAGCAGGTAAGAACGCATCTGATTACAGTGATGTGGATGTTTGCGCAAGCTTTGCAGTTCGGTACTCTAGTAAAGTCCAGTCACGTCACGTCACGTTTATTTAGCACTTTATGCAAGATAGCTTAAAACATGAAAAACCTTTGAAAAACATTGTCGCTTTTATTTAGAATTACAACTTGATTTTCTGTTATAAAGCAGCTCTCTAGTGTGGAGCTAGCTAATGATAAAATCTTTTTATTATTACTATATTATTATTATTATTTCATTAAAGTGATTGGTTTGCTGAGACCAAAGCTTGATCTAGCTCAGGACTGTTTTGATTATCATAACCCTATAAGGTATTTTAAGAGAGATTACGTTGTGAATAAAATTGTTTATCCAAAAATAAAATGTCTTATACCTTTATTTTGTTTCTTATCCATATGACTTACAAAAGAATGGCAGATTGTTAGGCAGGATGATGTGTCATTCAGTTACTTTTTCATATAGCTAATTAATGTTGAATGAGAGATTTTCTTTGTCTGTCATCTCATATTGTGTGTCAAATATATTTATTTGTATATAAGAATTGTAATTAGGTAATATGATTTTCAAAGGCTGAAGTGATTACCTTTATTTATTTGTTAGAATGTGTATAACGGAATATTTTAACAAATTGCAAAAGCTGAATAATCAAAGTCTACTGATTAATCAGTGAAATAATCGATGATTAGTTGATAAGTCATTCTAATAATCGTTAGATTAATCGACTATCAAATCGTTTGTTGCAGCCCTACTGTAATAGCATAATTACACTATACATAAATAGCAGCAGCTGACTAATTCAAGACATTAATTAAAGACTTCCAGAATTCAAGAATTCAGAATTTAAGAATTCAGATTTTATGATTACACATGCAGTTCTTTTGGTTTGCTTAAGTAAGCAGCACATGTTGAGCAATTGTAATTGGTTTCATTTCTG